ATAAAGTAGTGCTGTTCATGAGCTTTTAATGAGTCATGGATAATAGATATGTATTTATAAGGTTGTAAAGTTCATACAACGTAGAGGCCGGTGACATTAAAATAATGGATGATGTATTTGAATTTTTATATAAGGTCTAAATGTTTTAATAAACATATTAGTAGAACGTATGAGGCGTATATAAAAGATAGTTCCGTGGGATGATGACTTATCATTAGGGCTGTAAATTAATCGAACGTTCGTCAAACTGTTCGTGAACAGTTCGACGGAAAGTTTGTTTATATTCATTTATTTAATAAATGAACGAACATAAACACAAATTTTCGTTTGTTTAGTTAAACGAACGAACATAAATAATGGTCTCGTTCGTTCAATTATGTTCGTGAACTTTTGTTTATGTTGTTCGTTTACGTTCGTAAATTAAGTTCATTCATTTATGTTCATTTTATGTTTATATATGTTCAATTGTATTTTATTACATTTCTTTTTGATGTATATGGACTGATGTAAAATTATGGTTATGTGTTTTTTAATGTATTTCGAGTTATCAACAACTTTTTTTATGTGTATTTTTAATATTTGAAATTATTTTTATGTGTATTTTAATATTTAAATCTGTGTGTATGTGTGTGCAAAAAAAAAAAAGAAAAAACATGAAAATTATAAAAACTCGGTTGACTGTTGATCAAACCGGGAACCGCTCACCATATTGATTCAATTAAAAAAACGGTTTTAAAACATTGCTTAGAAGTAACCACTATTTTAGAAAGTTATTATTACGAAAGAAAAAAAAAAGTTGTTTGGTAAAAGATTATTAGTTGAATAAAGAAATATGTTTTAAGATTTTATGTTAAAACGGCGAAACATATGGAAAAAAAATAGTTTGAAAATAAAATATGTATATATGAAAATATATAGTTGTAAAAGTAAAACTTATAATTTATTGTTTGTATATACACGTATACATAATTTAGAAGAAGAAACATAATGCCAAATTCTAGCCAACATTTATTTGATTTTCATGTAAATAACGGACATGTTAATATTTTAATTGGGTCAGATTTTGAACCAGACTTGTTTTTATAGAATTCCAAAGTTTACGTTTTGCCATTATGAAAACATATGATTAAGTTTAATTTTGTGTTTGAATAATAAATTTGTATTTGTGAGACGACACCTTCAAAGAATTGGGCATTCCTTTTATCAATATTATTGATTTATTTCTAAACTGTTTGTTATTTGTGAGCCCCATCCCATTTTTATAATTTAAACCATAACGATGCTCTTTGTACGTAACGTACGTAAGTATATACGGGTATGGCAAAAGCAAAGAATCTAGATATGCGACTTTGACCGGGTCGATTCAGGCCTACCTGTAGACATCTCCAACCTTCACACTAACCAAATTTTTACAGCGGCGAGGAGGAACCAGGCGGCCGAATGGCTACGACAAATGGATCACGGTGCGGCGGAGGTACTGTCCACCGAACCCTCCGAGGAACACTTCTGTCTCTCTCTTCGCAATGGCCTCATCCTCTGCAATGTCCTCAACAAAGTCAATCCCGGTGCAATTCCCAAGGTTCTTTCCTCTCCTTTTCTTATTACATTAGCACACAATCAATCAAGAGTTGTCTAGGAAATCAAATTTAACCAGCGATAATTGGGGGAAATTCTTAAGGTGGTAGAAATTCCAATCATCGATACGGAGGGAGCAGCGCAAACCGCAATTCAATATTTCGAAAACATGCGGAATTTTTTAGTTGCTGTTGCTCGAATGAAGCTTCTTACCTTTGAGGTGTCTGATCTAGAAAAGGTGATCACTTTGATTACTGGTTCCTTATTGTTGACTTAGACTAGATAGTAGATACAATCATACAATATAGTTTGTTTATGTTTATAATATTGTTTCTTCCAGGGAGGCTCATCTGGTAAAGTCGTAGATTGCATTCTATGTTTGAAAGGTTATTACGAGTGGAGGCAATCCGGTGGGGCTGGAGTTTGGAAGTATGGTGGGACTGTAAGGATCACTTTAACCTCATTTCCAAAAGGATCACCTTCCTCTTTAATTGGCAGTGAAAGCGCCGATGAATCTCTAGATGAATCCGAGTCATCACAATTCGAAGAGTTGTTGGAGTATCTTCATCTATCAAGTGAGGTGTCTCTTCAGGAATCAAAAGTGTCAACCGCACTTACCTTCCTCTTTGACCATCTAGGTATCGGGCTTTTGCAGACTTATCTCACAGAGACTAATGAGCTTGATGACTTTCCCATGAATTCAATGGTGGGTAAGGTTCCTTTGTATTAGAATCTTTTGAGATGATTTTCTTGGTTATTAATATGTTTTTTGGATGTTATAATAGGTTATTGACATAGTACTCAGGAAGGCTGTTAAAGATCTTTCATCATTGCTTATTTCTCAAGGAAATCAGGTAACATTCAACACAGTTGAGACTTGAGAGTGAGTAGGAAATCTAAATCATGAATTAATTCTTATCCCTTTCAGCTTGGTATCTTTCTAAAGAACATGTTAAAGGGCAACTGCAAGCCTTTATTAAAGCATGAATTCCTACTGGCCATTTCAAATTATATCGACCAAAGATCAGGTTTAGTTTCAAATGAGTTATCAAAGTTTTGCATATGTGGTAACAAGGGTAAAGACATTAGTTACTTAGCTGACAAAACAAGCGTGCTGGATGTTCAACAAAAACAACTAGAGGTATGTACACTAAACACTAAGGTGCTGTTTGTTTTTTCGAAGCAAAAATTCATGAAGTCTGCGGACCACATCTGCAATCCTCTGTAGCAGAAGAGGTGGAATAAACGGCTGCAGCCTATAATAAGAAGCATGTTTGTTTTTTA